CCAAACAAGCTAGTGCCTGTGTAATCTCCTTATTATCCACTCTTATCAAGCAGCTTCTCGTATTCAGTTAATTAACTCCTGCTCTATTTGTATCTCCTTGTGCTTTGTGTATCGCACAAACATGATAGGAACGTAGCCCTTGCTCGGTATTTACTTGGTGCTTGGGAAAGTATCAGTTATTGTGCTTTGAGTGCCCCTGGAAGGCCCTGATTCGGTTATGCCCAATACGTGTTCCTCTGTGCCTGGAACCCGAACATCGATTGTCGTCCGCTATCTTCCTGGAACCACTCCAGTCGCTCTGTTCCGACAGCCGAACAGGCTTCTTGGAGTTCTTCTACCATTATTCTTATGCCATTTGGATTGTTGAAGATCAGAACAATGTCATCACTTACGCTTAGCTGCTGCAATTAAGGCAAAGTTAAAGAGTTAATCACAAACTAGCACCAAATCTTTCTGGATACATTTCGGTGCGCCACCCTGTAGTATACGTAACTTTTCATATAATTGTGTTTATACCCAAAACCAAAGATAAACCACTTAAGAAGATTTCGAAATAAAGTTGACTACTTTTTTTATTTTATATCTTTTATTTTTTTATTATATTTTAATGTTTTTCGCAGGCACAGCGAGCACCAAATAGGCTTCTTGGAAGACAAAACGCACCGAGCCAGAGTCCGAAAACATGGCAGCAATTATCTACTAGAAACATATTTAAAAGGACTTTCCGAAGCTGTGAATCCAGACATTGATCATATAGGGCTGGACAAGAATAGTGATAGCGGTGTGATGACTGAAGGGGATAGTGAGAAGTCCAATAACACAAAAATCAAAGAGTGTAAAAATGTTGAGGTAATGCGGACTGCTTGATTTGAGTGAAAACCTATCTAATGTATTAACTTGTAGGCTACTAGTGACAGATTTTCGCCATCATCTGAAGAATTTATTGATCATCTGAAAGATGATGATAATATTTCAAATGTGAGTGAATCCGCCATAAAAGCCCATGTGAAGCTGCTTGAGAGTATACTGAAGATCAACAAAAGCCTGCTTCAAGAGGAAGAACACATCAACAAGTTGGACAGCTATATAAAAAAGTACGATAGAAACAAAGCAACCGAACAGCAAGAAATTAATGTGGAAGTCAACACAGAACTTTCGCAACTGACAACGCAAATGACGAAAAGCGCATGTGAGATGCAACACAACGAGATTGTTTTGGAAGAAATCCTGGAAGTGCTTGACACCCGTCGTCAACATCTGGCGCTTCTTCACCAAGAGCTGACCAGTCAAGATCAAGAGCACGAGATGTTACAAGCATTGCTTTACAGCAACAGCCAAAAACGCACTAGACAAGAACCTTTTTTGTATAACGGTTACCATACCAAAGAAATGTTGGATACCTTAGTTTAAGGATGAGAGTAGAAATGCACCTTTGTTTGATTTATTTAATACCAAATATTTTGTACCTAATATATATTATTTTTAATATTGAATATTTCATATGTTTTAATAGCAGACATTTCTGAGCAAACAAATGGCAATTAAAGTGTTATTGAAAAATGCTACTTGGATAACGATTTTTTTAGTCCAGTGCGTCATCGCCTTTCTTTCTGCAACGGGAAGGGCTCATTTTGTGATTTTTTATCAATGCGGTTGGGAGAATGCCTTTCTCTCTATCAGCTTCTTTCTTTCCTCCTTTATGCTTTCGCCTAATCTACTCCTTTATCTTCTTCCATTTCTATTTTAGACGGGTCACATGTTCCAATTTCGTTACCAGCCTGTCCTGGTGTACAATTGTCAGTCCATCTTTTCCTGGTCTGCCTATGCCTTTGTGACTTAAGAATGATTTGTCGCGTGCTACTTTTACGATTCTTACTACTTTACGATCTTGCGGTGTCCATCCGGTTGGTCTGTTGGTTCCATTCATTTTTCCTATCCAGTAGCCAGCGATTCTTATCCTGCACTCCTCAGGTTTTCCTAATCTTCTCGTTACGTTCTTTTCAGCAATGTTCTTCTCCGGCAATCCTTTGAAGTCATGTAAGTTTTCCTGACTGTAGTTCTACTGTCATTTATTTCGAATTAACAATTATTGACACTTTTAAACGTTTTGGGGATTTTCCGCCATCCTCATTTCTCATGGGTCCGGAATGTTATACGGAAAGTGTGGAATGTTATACGGAAAGTCTGTCTGCACACGGACTCCAGAAGGGTCGTAAAAAGCTTTGGCGAGATCGTGTCTTCTTGTCCCACTCATGTTCTTATTTGGAATCTGTTTATGTCGTCATTTGCTCTGTCGTTAGCTGTGGCTGTTTCATATATATGTTTTGTCAGTGAGATATATCTGTGGTCGATTCTGCAAAGCCTCTCAGTATTTTGTCCTGATGGATGGAATCAAATGTCTTCCGGTAGTCCACGAATATTTGGATCAGGGGTTTATGGTGCTCTATGATTTTTTCGATCAATACTTTTATTACCAGAAGATAATCATTTGTTCCAAAGCCCAGTCCTGCCGCCTTTTTTGTGTAGAACGGTGATAACAGCATTGTGACATGGCTCCCGGGTTATTCCTTTAAGCAGGCATTTTGTGAATAGTCTGCTAAGAACCTGTAGGACACATCTTCCGCCTGCCTTAACAGCCTCTATCATTACTCCGTTGCCTCTTGATGCTCTGTTGTCCTTCATTTGTCGTAGAGCATTATCAATCTCAGATGTTGTTATATCTGCAATGTCTTCGGAGCCTTCGCTTTGCACATATGGAATGGTTATAACGCGATGTGTAGGGGGTCTATAGAGCTCCCCATAGAACTCCTCCAGAACCCGTAGTATTTCCTCTTTATTCATAGTGGCTCTGCCCTTGGTATTTCTCAACATCGTTATATCCTTTGAGCCTGTGCTGAGAATTTTCCTTAGTACCTTCAGACTCTTCTTTCAGACCTCAGATATTTGTTTCAATCACTGCCTGATTTCTCTGGTTTTGTTTTGTCAAAGGTCTTTTCTGATTGCTGAGGAAATAGTTTTGTTGAGTTCTCTTAATTTGTTCGGATTTATGTTTTTGTTCTCCTCTTATTTGTCGCCGTCTTTTTATTAGGTTTTTGGTGTCTATGCGGCGATTTTCTGGGCTTGTCCTCTTGTTGCAGTGTTGTTGGGTCTTCTTTAGTGCATGGATTAATATTCCGTTTACTCTATTTATATCGTGTTTGCCTGTTATGTCTCCATCCAGCAGGTCTCTCCTAATATGTTTCTGCTATGCGTCCGTATCTCTTATCTCGGTCCATTTTGTGTTGGTAGTTTTGGACAATAATTTGCGCCGCTCATTTTTTATGTTTATGAACACCTTGGCTCTTACTAGCCTGTGGTCACTTCCCACTGAAAAGCTGTTGAGGACCGAAACGTCCCTGATGATACCTTTTCTGTCCGTAATTATGTAGTCAATCTCGTTTCTGGTTGCACCGTCGGAGCTCATCCATGTCCATTTTCTTTTGGGGGACTTCTTCGAAATGGAGTTCATTGCGTACATGTTATGCTCTAACAAAAATTCCAAGAGCATTGTGCCTCCATCATTTTTCTTGCCGAAGCCATGCAGTCCAAAAGCTGTTTCGTGACCTTCGTATCGTTGTTCCAGTTTCGCATTTAAATCTCCAATTAGAATGTTCAATTTTGATGGTGTCTCTTTATACGCTTTAATTACGTCGTTGTAAAACTCTTCCAGTTCCTCTTCACTCTTCAGTAACTCTTATGCTAACACTGGTGATCTGAACAACATCCTTGACGACCTTTTTATTGATGATAAAACCGATAAAAATTGAATTAATTAACAAAAACCTATTTTTAACGGGTCTATTTAAGGATCTATTTCCTAGCTTTTTATATAGGTTACGTAGGACTTTGCGGATAATCCGAAAACATGCCCACATTTTTGGAGACACCCTGTATAGAAAGTTAGTATTTTCGTTTTCATTGGAAGCTTGGACAATTCAAACAATTGAATGAATCTCTCCTCAAAAGAAGCTCTTCAACGGGAAATAAATGTCTAGCTACAGTTAATGTTTCCCCAATATAGACAACTTTTTCAAGACTCACATTTTTAAGAATTTTCGTTATATTATTTAAATCCAATTTCTGTTTTCCGAAATAAAAATTGTTCAATAAATCAGCTGGGAAAGAGAAATACGACCCTGTAGCGCAAGGGGTAGTTCTTTCTTTGCATCTGCACATCTGGGGCTATCGAAAGAACGCATGCCTTGTTCGCATTGGACGTTGCACCCTAGACTGTCTGGGTTATTTGTAGACTGTTTAGTGGCTTTTGGGCATTTTATTCGTTCCTTAAAAATATATCGGAAGTCACCCGGCTTTTGTGCTGCAGATGGGATTTTGGACAATTATTTGCGCTGTGTATCGACCGTGGAGACGATTTTCGGTTTCGCTCGCGAACGATGTGAAATAGGGAGACTGGATTCTGTGCTTACATCTAGTCAGGTAAATCAATACGAATAGTATTATGTGAAATTTAATCAACAGTTGTATAACATAGAAGTAAAGCTGAAAGCTGAGCGATTTTAATCAATAATTTAGAAAGTATTCATTGAATAAGTATATTTTCGTGGCGCATCCATAAAGCTGGATGGATGTGATAATCTGCACTATTTTGCAAGATTTTGGCTCAAAGCTCATTTACCTACCACAAAAAGTGAAAACATTTAAATCGCAGTTTTTAAAATACTTTCTCGATTTTAACGATTTTAAGCTTGTTTGGAAGGGAAATGTACACACTTTTCATTGTCGTAGAACAGAACCCAATAGATCTTGAAAATACTGCTAGACTGCGCTATTTTCAACAAAAACAGTTTTTACAGTTTTTACTTGAGAACGTAAAGGGTACCGGAAAACTATGACACCACAGTCGAATTGGAAATTGAATTTGTTAAAAAAACGTGTGTGCCGCAGCTCGTTATCTTGCTTCGCTGCAGAGTTATAACAAAAAGAATAATTTTTACACTTACTGCTACTAATTGCGCTCGTTTGCAATGTTGTTTCAGACTATCGGTTTCTACTTGGTTAAACAGAGAAACGCATTTAAATTTTTCTTCAAAAAAAGCTTAAAATTGCTAAATTTCGAAAAGTCGTTTAGAAGTTCAGCGTTTCAATGTTTATAATTTCAATGTCTTCTTGCACTTTTATTAGGGTGTTAAATTTTTATTTTATTAAAGCGTCAATAACGCTTGAATGAAAATTTTCCAAAATTTTCCAAGTTTTTTTCAAGATGCCGCAAAAGCTTTATCCTAATGGGGCAATTTCCGACCAAAAATCACTTGATTAGGAAATGTCGGGGAGTATTCAGGATATTTTCAGCTACTAAGGAGAAGCGATTGGCCTTTGGTTAGATAGACAGACTTAAATAAAAATTATCAAGAAAGAACAAAAAATTTCATTTAAAAGAGAAAACCTGCGGCTTTAAATGAGGCATACCTCACTTTAATGTGAAATTTATAGGAGTTTTCAGGATTTTTTCACATAATAAATCTGAGCGATTGGTCGTTGGAAGACACGGATTTTTCAAAATTACACCAAGGAAAACCCAATAATTTCTCAATCCGGCCCTGTATGTAACTCGAAAGAGACAGTCCCCGGCTTGAAGGGAAAACCCCACATTAATAGGAAAATTTTGGAAATTTCCATTATTTTCTCTGTTACTAAGAAGATGCGCTTGGCGATTGGAGAATAAAATTTTTCAAGAAAAGTTCCATAATCAAAAATCCCATAATCCGGATAATATTATTAATCGAAAGGAAAAATGCACTGCTTTACGTTCGGAAAAACGTACTTTAATAGGAAATTTCTGTAAATTTCCAGGATTTTTTCGACGATTAAATCGAAGCGATTGGTTGTTGATTAAAGAAAAAGACAAACATCCCATAATCCGGTTCATATCATGCTTAGAAATAGCAAATGCGCTGCTTAAAGAGTGGAAAAACGGACTTTAGTGGGAAATTTCTGGGAGATTTAAGAATTTTTTCAAATCCTAAATCAAAGCGTTTGGTCGTTTCGATTCGAAAAATTCGCCAAGGAAACACCAAAAATTTCTCAATCCGACCCAGAATATATCTCGAAAAAACAAGTCTGCGGCGTTAAGTGAGGAGAGACCCACTTTAATACAAAATTTTCAGTTTCCAGTATTTTTTCAGTCACTAAGGGGAGGCGATTGGTCATAAGAAAACACAAATTTTTCAAAAATTATACAAGAAAAATCCTAAAATCTTATAATCCGATTAATACTATAACTCGAAAGGCAAAATATGCTGCGTTAAGTACGGGAAAACAAATTTTATTAGGAAATTTCTGGGAATTTCCAGGAATATTTAGGTATACTCAATCGAAGCGATTGGTCGTTGGGCAACATCAATTTTTCAAAAATTTGCCAAGGAAACACAAAAAATTCCTAGATGTGGCCCATAACATAAGTCGAAAGAGAAAATCGGCTGCTCTAAGTTAGGAGAAACTTACCTGAATAGGAAATTTCTGGCAGTTTTCAGTTGCTATTCAGTGAGGCGATTGGCCGTTGGAA